GAACACCTTTCTGCGTAGGCGGCCTTCGGCCGCACTTAGGGATTATAACCCTCAGCGAAAGGAGCCACAGGGACAGTAAATACATATTTTCCATGGAAAGGTTTATATTTTTAATGCTGACTGGGTTATATCATATTTTCTTTTGTCTCTCATCCTTCTTGTATATTTAGCAGTTTGACAGCTAAACGCCACCATTTAATGTGCATATGCAACCAAAGGCAAACGCGTGGTTTTGAAGATGTTTTTATTTAATAAATTGTGATTGATAGATTAAAATTAAAGTAATAAAGAAAGTTGTAACAAGTCGAATAAAGTTTAAAGTGAAGGGGAATATAAAAATGCATTAGTGAAGTGGCTGCTTTAAGGAAAATAGGAGTGATAAATGTGAGCTATTTTCCGAATTTTACAAAAAAGGGCATATTTCAAACCCAATTTGTAAATAAATTAGTGACCAAAAATTACAATAGTGGATGTTAAAGTAATGGGTAGACCCTTGGCTACAAGGGTCACCCCTTTGGACGCAATACCCCGAAATAGGTGGGCCACTTACTAAACCGTACCCAATATTATCTCCCCCCTCCGGATTGTTATTGGGGGGGCCGAAACGCGTCGTTTGGTACCCCTCCCGACTTTTCCGGACCTTTTTTAGGGGTTGTTACACTACACTAGAGAAATACCAAAATCAATACTTCGATAAATAATGAAAAAATTTTTTCCATCTTTTGACACACTTGTTTAGGTAAATTTTCCGTTGGCCCGTTAAACTGTACCAATACCCTACACGACACCATCCAAATTTATACACAAATTAATTCCAGTATTAGTGCTAAGCCACGTATTCGATTATTTACCGCTCTACTTTCCTCGACTTCGAAAGAAAACCTTTTTTCAAATGCCGAATTTATACATGTACAGGATTAAATATGTATGCTATTGCCGCCACACAAATCTCACTCACAAAACAAAACTAGAGTGGGCAATTGCTACTGTTTTGAATAAATTAATCGATAACGATTATTGGACCTGCACTCATGATACAAAAAAAGAAGCATGATTCAATAACGAAAGGTTTTGTAAGAAAAACTTTCTCTCGCTCTAACTTTATCAATGACACTCCCACCCTACTCCTTAAAACAAAAACAGTGATATTTCTTTTCCAAATTTCATTGCAAGTTTTAAGAACATTTTTAACATGTTAGTAGTGAAATTTTTACTTTTTAAATTTGAAGAAATTCTTGTTCTTCATCGCTAGCGCCAACAAGACAAAATGGGTGAGAATCTTTGGACTGGAGAAATTCATTGTAGGCTAAAGATACGAAATCGCCAATTGCGGCTGTGTCTCCCCAGAACATTAAGGGCCGGTTACTCAATGCCTGGTTAACACTAGTCTGCGGTTAAACCTCGTTATCGACGTCTACGACTCCATGCATATAGCACGGTTTCGATAACGTCGATAACGATGTTTAACCGGCAGACATTGGGTAAGCGGCCCTAAGGGCCGGTTGTTCAATATCTGATTAGCACAATCGGAGCACAAATCAACCAAAACCGAACGAAATTGTGCAAAGATTTTTGTTTCATAAGCGTAGTCAAAAGAACGGCGAAACAATAGCAGATTTTGTTAAAGATCTACGAAAATTATCCGAGCATTGTGATTTTAAAGAACTCGAGAACATGCTACGTGACCAAATCGTATGTGGAGTCGTAGTTGAAGCATTACAAAAACGGCTTTTCAGTGAGCCAAAATTGGATTTCAAGCGCGCTTATGAAATCGCATGTGCACACGAAGCGGCCTTCCGAAATGTAAGAGATGTTCGGGGCAATAACAACGAAGTACTGGCCATGTCGTCTAAAAACCAACATAAAAAGATGGAGAACGTGAGCTGTTTTCGATGCGGTGGCAACCATGTGGCCAATCAATGTTTTTTCAAGGAAAATAAGTGCGACTTTTGTCATATAAAGGGCCACTCCATTGAAGCTTGCTTTAAGAAAAGAGCGAATGATAGGAAACTAGCGGCAGTACATACCGTAGAAGAATCCAGAGACCACAGTGAGCTTTTGCCAGCCGTAAACGATTATTTTTATAAACTAAATAATACTGGTATTCATCTAAACCGATAACTTTATCCAGCAGATAATCTTATAAGTTTATGCACTCTGTTACATGAACGACCCACACTCTCTTTTCGTTTACACATGCGACAATAGTCGTGTTTCTTTGGTTATAAAGCGCAGTGTCACTAATTGTATGAATTCATTTGTCAAGGCTACCAAACTTTGCGAATTATCAGTGAAACAAAACAAACAGACCGGATAATAATTGAACTAGATCTCTATCAGGATTATATCGTTGTTGAATTTGCGTGCAAAATTTGTATGCGGATCCCGATTATTGCCTAAGAAAACATAGCTAGAGTTGCGACAGAGTTGCATTGTCTTCAGTTTATCAAGTTTATTCAGTGAAATCGCTGGATAAATTTATCAGAAATGTGTAAACGAGTTTCCATACAAATTTTGACAGTTCATTTATAAGGTTTACACAATTATAAGTTTATACGGTTTACAATGCATTTATAAGGTTTGATGAATACCCTTACTATTAATGCCGGCGCTAGTCAAAAAATTTTGGTGAGAATATACCTCAACGGTATGCTGGAATATTTTGAGGTGGATTCAGGGGCGGCATGCACAGTAATCTCCGAAATTACTTGGACTCGCGTTAATCAAGGCAAACAGCCCCTAACCCCATCTAGTACGATTCTACAAACGTGGTCTAAAGAAAGGCTCAACGTTTTGGGTTGTGCTCGGGTGAACCTTACATATAATAATAAAGAGCACGTATTACCCGTCTTGGTAATTGCAGGCAGTGGTCGGAGTTTACTGGGAAGGAACTGGTTTCCAGAGTTGGGAATCGTTTTGGAGAGGGTCCATGCGGTGGATACAGGAGCCGAGAAAAACGAGTTGGAACTCAAATACAGCAGAGTATTTAGTAAAGCTTTAGGAGCACACCATGGACCACCCGTATCACTTGAGTTGATACCGGGATCGCAACCTATTTTTCGAAAATACAGACCTTGCCCTATTGCATTGAGACCAGCTGTCGAAAAAGAAATAGAAAAGTTGGTAGCACAGGAAATATTAGAGCCGACTTCCTTTTCGCGATGGGCTACGCCGATTGTTCCCGTACTCAAAACGAGTGGCGATATAAGAATCTGCGGCGATTACCGTAGTACGGTAAATGCAGTATAAAACCAAATGTTTACCCTCTACCACTTTTTGCGGAAGTAAAAGCGGCCATCGCCGGAGCGGAATTGTTTACAAAACTAGACTTACAGCAAGCTTACCAACAGTTGAAGGTAGACGAATTCTCGGCGGAGCTACTCGCATTAAACACCCACAAGGGCTTATACAAGGTGAAGCGGTTGCCGTTTGGAGTGTCAGCGGCTCCGGGACTTTTCCAGAGATTTATGGATAACCTCCTGGCTGGATTAGATGGCGTGAAGGCCTATCTAGATGACATTATTATCGCAGGTAAAAATAGAATAGAGCATTTTAAAAACTGAGAGGCAGTGCTGAATCGACTCGAAGAAGCAAATTTGACAGTAAACAAGGGCAAATGTCTTTTTGGGCAAACGCAATTAGATTTTTTGGGATACCATATAAGCAAGCAAGGTGTCTCACCAAGTAGAGATAAAATCAAGGCGATATTACAGGCACCAATACCGAAAAACAAGGAGATGCGGCAGTCGTTTTTAGGGCTGTTGAATTTGTATAACACATTTTTATCGAATAAGGCAACAGTCGCCGAAAAACTTCATCGACTACTTGACAAGAACGCCCCGTGGAAGTGGACAGAAGAAATGATAATTTAATTTAAAAGCAATGTTAGACTCGGATAGCCTGCTAATACATTATGATCAAAAAAAAAACCTTTAGTGTTGGCGTGTGACGCATCACCATATGGAGTAGGTGCAGTGTTAGCTCACCGTAACAAAGAAGAAGAACGGCCCATTGCATTCGCATCAAGGACATTGGGTGTACATGAACGTAATTACGCTCAGATCGATCGTGAAGCGCTCTCGATTATTTTTGGCGTCAAACATTTCCATCAGTACCTGGCAGGAAGAAAGGTAATCATAGTAACTGATCACAAGCCGTTGCTGGAAATTTTCAATAGAAACAAGGCAATTCCGCAAATGGTGTCGCCCCGCATGTTAAGGTGGTGCCTGCTATTGTCGTCTTACGATTACCAAATGGAGTACCGGCCTGGGAACTAGCATGGAAACGCGGATTGCTTAAGTCGTTTGCCCATGACTGCGCAGGTTAATGCTGACTCAGCGGGGCCACCCGAAGTGTTCATGCTGAAAAGCCGCAGCAATTCGCCCGTGAACTCACATCAAATTTCGAAAGCGACTGAAATAGACCCAATGTCTCGAGTCATGCGTTGGTTACTGCACGGATGGCCAAAAGGTCACAAAGGATTTTTTACCTTATTGCAGGCGAAGGTCGGAATTGTCAGCCCATAAACATTGTTTGCTCTGGGGAAATCGGGTGGTAATACCGCCGAAGTACCAAAAGCAAATATTGGAACTACTACACGCATACCATTCCGGAATATGCGTATTGAAGGCTTATGCTCGTAGCTATGTATGGTGGCCCGAGATAGATAAACAGATCGAATTGATGGTAGCCCAGTGTGGAAAATGTCAGTCGGTAATGAAGAATCCTCCAGCAGCACCGCGGCAACATATTCCGGCTAGAGAAGAGCCTTGGGAGACATTGCACATTGATTTTGCTGGGCCGTTCCAAGGGTACGTATTCTTAGTGGTTGTAGACGCTATGTCAAAATGGCTCGATGTCAAAATAGTAAAAAATATGGCAGCTTCGGAAGTCAAGCGTACACTACGGGAAGTAATCGCGACTCACGGGGTGCCCAAGCGAATCATTTCGGATAATGGCACGGCTTTCGTGTCGGCGGAAATGAAAGATTTCTACGCTTCGAACGGAATTAAATTTAGTTCCACGGCACCATATCACCCGTCTAGCAATGGGCAAGCGGAACGCATGGTCCAGTATCTGAAAGATTCACTAAGACGAATGACTGAAGGAGACATGGAAACGAAGTTGCAGCGTGTTCTTTTCAAACAACACACCACTCCCAACACAACAACGGGTAGGACACCGGCAGAGATGCTGATTGGTCGACAGCTGCGTACGGTTCTAGGTATGGTGCATCNACCCCGCCTGGTAGCATGGGCACATTGTAGAAGTCACTGGACCGGTTTCCTATGTGGTCGAATCGACAGACAAAAGAATCGGCCGTCGGCATGTGGACCAGATACGTCGGAGAATAGTGCAAGTAGAGGAACCCCACGTCGCCCGGGGAAAGGTGATACATTAATGCCGCCCCTCATGGTGCCAGGTTCTCCTAAGATACAAGATCCACCCGAAAATACGATATCAAGCCCNACACATTGATTTTGCTAGGCCGCTCCAAGGGTACGTATTCTTAGGGCCGTTTGCACCATGTCTAGTTAATTCTAGCTCCCAGTTAAACATCTTTATCGACGTTATCGACACCCATCATATAACATGTGATCGATAAAGCAGTTAACGTGCCTAACTCAAGGATGTACCTCCAGTTAGCGTTAACTAGACATGGTGCAAACGGACTCACGGGGTGCCCAAGCGAATCATTTCGGATAATGGCACGGCTTTCGTGTCGGCGGAAATGAAAGATTTCTACGCTTCGAACGGAATTAAATTTAGTTCCACGGCACCATATCACCCGTCTAGCAATGGGCAAGCGGAACGCATGGTCCAGTATCTGAAAGATTCACTAAGACGAATGGCTGAAGGAGGCATGGAAACGAAGTTGCAGCGTGTTCTTTTCAAACACCACACCATTCCCAACACAACAACGGGTAGGACACCGGCAGAGATGCTGATGGGTCGACAGCTGCGAACGGTTCTAGATATGGTGCATCCTGATGATGGCAACGAGAACGCGTTAACAAATATGCCAATTAATCAGGTAAGACGTTTTGAAATTGGAGAGCCCGTGTATTTTCGAAATTACGGGGCTGACCCCGCCTGGTAGCATGGGCACATTGTAGAAGTCACTGGACCGGTTTCCTATGTGGTCGAATCGACAGACAAAAGAATCGGCCGTCGGCATGTGGACCAGATACGTCGAAGAATAGTGCAAGTAGCGGAACCCCACCTCGCCCCGGGGGAAGGTGATACATTAGTGCCGCCCCTCATGATGCCAGGTTCTCCTAAGATACAAGATCCACCCGAAAATATGATATCAAGCCCCAACGTGAAAGTTTCGCAAAATTCAAACACTCCGAGTCGGTCAACACCTACCTCGCCAGACATCTTAACTGAACCACCTGATCCGGAAGTACAACCTCCAATGACGGAGACTGTTGGAAATTAGGTACCACGTTATGGCAGGGTGGTTAAGCCTCCACAACGCTTTGATCCTGACTAATCGCGGAGGAGTGTGGTATTCCTTGGCAACCCTACAACTTTTAGAAGACAACGAATAGGCAATAGAGGGTGACAGCTGAGATGTCAGAAAATACACGTGTAGAAAAAGATCCGGTTGTTGAAGTTAGAGGTTAATAAAAAGCAAATTTGGGATTAACACTACAATCATCTATGAAGTTTCATTTAGTCGGTGATAGGATATACTACAAAAATACCACCATTCAATATTATCCACACCTTTTTATGGAATTTAGCTCCCATTTTATGAAGTGTGATTGAATTCTTCCCCCTTTTCTCCTGCTTCCATAAACCATCCCTGTGGGTGGGAGTGCCAAATTTTAGAAAAAAGCTACTTAGAAAACCTTTAATAATTGAATCATGAAAACGAAGGAAGTTTCAATAAACAACTTTTTTGTTAACAGCCCTATTCGCGTGTTGTCACAGTCGTCAATTGTCACAGTTCAATTGTCATTGTCGTACAATCAACTGTTGTTATAGGTATGCACACTTAATAATGGCAAGCGAAACACTCATTTTATTTGCCAATTGTGGCGAAAGTTTCTCTTTATTGTTTGCATTTTAATTGTTCTTTTTGACCGCCTCTGTTGCAGTGGTATTTCTTTTAAATAAAATACACCGCAGCAATGGATTACGAAACGCCGGAAATGTGAGTAATTTTATAATAGAAAAATTTATTTCATTTCATTATGAAGTCGTGTAACATAACAGGCCAGCAGAATATGAATGCACCACACAAGAGCAGCTGCAGTTTTGTGAAGACCACCCCGAGCTGCAAACGTGTAAAAACTGTCCAAAAAACTGTTGTGTGGGATTCCCTCAGAAGTCTTCTTCTCTGTATAATTTTTTCGTGCTCCACAATAATAGTCGCGTATATAATAATTATTTTCTCCGTGAATAATATGCTACAATGGGTACTATTAGGATTTTTATAAGCAAATAATAACTTTTTAATACACCTATTTAGGCAAATAAAATCGTTTCACAGTTTTCATTTAGTAAAATTTTGCAACTTTTTTCTGCAAAAATAATAAAATTGAAAACATTAACATATGTTTTAGCGTTGTCACGTACTCAATAGGTCATCACAAAAATAAAAGCAATTGTCGCCGTTGGAGCTTCCAAATTACCCTCTGCATACCTAAACGTGACAATTGATAATAAACATGCCAATAGTTATAGCGGCGAGTTTTGTCATTGCACGCGAATAGGGCTGTAAAAAGATTTTTAACAATTGCTCAATTGTAAAAAATTCAAAGCGGCGTCACCTAATTTAAGTTTTTTGGTGGGGGGGGATTTTATATCCTAAATTTGGGGGTATAAATAAAATAATTGTATTAACATTTACCTTAAAAAATAATTAATATCCTATCTTAAAAACATTTAAATTTTACATTAAATTCGATTACTACTTGCCAATTGTTTTTTTACATTAATAAAATTTTAGTGAACATAATTTACATCGTACAGTTTCATAAGTAAAAACACTATCAGCTGATGGCCAAAAAATGCCTTTTACAAATTCTTTCATTTCTATTATAATTTCTTTTATTTCTATTACAATTTATTCAAAAAACACTAACCCACTGAACCAAAAACACCAATACACTAACCAAAAACACACGTACAGCCTGCCAATGGGCTGTTTTTGCTTACGCGTAAAAGCACATTTAGGGCTCTATCTCCGGTTAACACTAATCCCCCGGTAAACATCGTTACCGACCTTATCGACTCCCTGTTATATGCATGGAGTTAGAACGTCGATAACAATGTTTAACCGGGGAGTTAGTGTTAACCAGAGATGGAGAAACCGGCCCTTAGCGCATTTAGGGCCGGTTACTCAATGTCTGGTTAACGCTAGTCCCGGTTAAACATAGTTATCGACTTTACCGACACCGTGCTATATGCATGGAGTCGAAGACGTCAATAACGATGTTTAACCGCAGATTAGTGTTAACCAGACATTGAGTAACCGGCACTTAGCTCTAAATGCTACTCTAAGGCACACTGCACACGGGTCGTACGGCTTTAAACGCGTATTAGATGCGATGTTCGAATGCCGTACGCTTTGTTGCCGAACGCTTGTGTTTAAATGGAGAGCTGTACACGAGTCGTCAGCTACGCGTATTCGTCAAAGCAAGCGAGCTGGAAATCACCTAGCGTATAGCAGTTCTGTTCGCTTGCCGTACATTGTGGACAGTTTTGTTTGAGCGCGTTTGCATTTTTATTAAACATGGCAGAGGAAGCAATTAAATTTGTTCAATTTATTGAAAATAATCCTTGCATATACAACAACACGATGCAGGAATATTCCAGAAAGGACATAACTGAAAAAGCCTGGGCAGCAATAGTCCTGGGAATGAACTGGTCAGGTAAGTGCACAGAAAATATCTTTTTGCATTTTTGTGGTTTTGTAGTTAATTATCATTTTATAAAGAAAAGTTACGCTTCCATGGCAAACTGTAACAAATGTGTCTTAATTAATTTCTTCGCAGTGGCTGATTGCAAGGAAAAGTGGAAAAATATGCGAAAAGGGTTTGTTAGGAGTTTGAAACCATTTCCAAGTGGCTCTTCTTCTAAAGCAAAGAAACCATACTACTTGCACGACATAATGAGCTTTGTGTTGCCATATGTGAAACCTGTGCAACATTAAGAGACCACCTATAATTTTATATTGCCAGATTCTGATGTCCATCACTATGAGGATGTGGAGTGCACCGAAAATGATGAATTCAATTGCGATGTAATGCCGCAAACATCCAAGCATTCACAAGATACCCCATCTAGTGTGGAAAAAGAGAAAAGGAAGAAAGTAGAAGAAAAGGACGAGGTTTACGTTGCGATGCTGAACTATCTGCAAGAAAAAACCCATAGGAAGACGGCCGATGATTCACGTAAAATGTACCTTTTGAGCTTGCTGCCGGAAGTAACGAGTCCTTCAGATATGCTTTTAAGACAGTTTAAAATCCGTACATTGCTCTTACTGGAGGAATTGATGTCTGATCAGGAGCAAGAAGCTGCGAATCAGCAGTTTGTTCCATGTGGAACAATTCAAATGAATACGCCAGCTTCTTCACCCATTGATCCACCAACTCCAACAACAGTAATATACCCGACCGACAGCAACTCCAATATTGACCCACAAGCTTTGGGTAGAAATCAATCATTTTTCTTCTCACAATAGTTTTGATATAAAATGCATGTATGTATGTACATTAGGGTGGTATTATTTTTGCGTATTCATTTCATTTTCCGTTTTTTTTTTTTACCAAAAATGTGAGGGATGAGGTTTTAATGTACATAATTTTTACATATCGTTACTTTAATTCACAAAGGCCCTAAATAACAATTTTTTCGAAACTGCGTTTTCACAGGTTTTTGTAGAGTGTATTTAAATACAACTTCAATAGAAATTTTAAAGAGTTAGTACCAAAAGTAGTTTTTTGCTTCTCCTGGAAAATTTATTGGTTAGGGCGAATTAAGGTAACAATATACACTTGTGATCAGCTGATTAATTCATCAACATTTGGATCAATTGTGCCTATTTTTCTTTTGTTTATTTTATGTTTTTTATTTTTCCATAAAAGTCTAATTGCTACAGTAAACCGATGGCTGAGTGGAAGATCGACCTATCTCGGCAGCCAGTTCAAAAACGCCCTACTTCAGAATTTGATTGAAGAATGCCCTATCTCATAATTCTGTTGAAGAACGCCCTATCTCAGCTGCCGATTCAAAAACGCCCTATCTCAAACGAAAATACATTGAAAATAAGCTGAGATAGGGCGTTCTTGAATCGGCAGCTGAGATAGGGCGTTCTTGGAAAATTTGCTGAGATAGGGCGTTTTCGAACTGGCTGCCGAGATAGGTCGATCTTCCACTCAGCCATCGAAACAATACTTCAAACAATAAATTTGAAATCGTACGATTTGCAGAGCATGCCTGAATACATATTTCATAATTCATTA